ACTGTTCGTCCCAGTGCTCATATGCTAGGCCACAAAAATCTCCTGAGCCGACCAAGCATAGAAATAAATACAGTATGGGAACCAGTAATAAGGAGTGCCAGAGAAAAGCAATGATAACAACAAAGTTGCAAAATGAGCTCTGGTAAAAACATGCAATGATAACAGCAAAATTGCAATATGAGCACTGGTAAAAATGGTTGCTGAAGACATTAGGTTTATAATAATACCCAGAAATTCATAGTTAGATGTCCTCAAGGACACGTGGCACAGTGGATAAAGGCGTTGGTTTAGATCCAGTGACAGGACCCAAAGAGTGTGAGTTTAATACCCGTTTATTCAATTTTAGATCAAAATAAAATTCTTTTCGTTTTTCATTCAAAATACTCAACGTTTTCACAACGTCGCCCACGTGACGACAACGTGATCATATTTAAACGGAACGCTGATCTTATAAAAGATTTCAGTTATCTTTTTGGATTGGTATTGCTTTTATGTCCATCGTCTTTTTCATGTTGAATTGTATATGGTCTATGTTAATTATGTTTTATGAATATGTCCTGAAGATGGTCTATTAGACTGAAACGTCCGACGTTGACATTAAACATTAAAACAGCATAATCGCATATTAGGATTTTTGTTTGTTTTTTCAGTATATTTTTCTTCATATATATGTATATATATATATATATATAAACAACGAAAGTTCTTTATTGATTATTTTTTATTTACTTTTACAATATTTCTAATAAATTTTCTGGTGTCTGACTATGTGGTTAAGGAATTTATTGTTCTTGTTAATTTTATGTATTTGATTTCATTAAAATTACTCTGTATGTAGAAATTATTAAATGCGCTCTATTAAATTATTTATGAGGGCTATTTTGCATGTGTGGGCATCCTCTGTTGTTGTTAAGTCGGTGTGGGTTTAATTTGGTTGTTTTTTTTTATAAACAGATGTTTAATGTTTTCACTATTTGAAAATTGATACATCTAGGAATTAAATTCATAGTCGATAAACAAATTAAACTAACATTAGAAAAAATAAAACCATAAATAAAGAAACCATAAAAACGACTATTAAAGTATACTTCAGGAACCCAATATGTATTAACTACCAACTAAACGAAAAAAACTGTAAGAAAACTATAGATACATATCAACTGATGGCAAAAATAAAGAAATTACTTTCATTTATTACGAAAAGATAAAAACCTCCAACATGATGATCACCAATGACACAAAAAACAAAAAGCATCTAATGAACTATGAATTCAAATGCTCCATTGGAGAATGCTTTTCTACCACAATCTTCCCCTTGATTCACACCTACCATTTCAGTAGCTATAGCACACAGGAAACGCTTCTCCAAACTCTACCAGCGTGATAGTTCCAATCAAATCTTTGGATCGGCTCATAATAATTATAAACGTGCCCTCAAATTGGTTATGCCTATATTCCTCAAATTGGTTATGCCTATATTCCTTGCATTAGTTACATATCCTCCAAGATAAGGTTGTAAGCTTACATGTTTTGCTTTGGAATAGGTGTATTTGATTAATGTTTTTGAGAACCATTTTGTTTTCTTTCTAAATATGCGCAAAACAAAAGGTGTGGTTTTAACATTTTCCAGAGAAAAAAGGCTCTGGCTTTAAGAATTAAGTTTGAAAAGTTCTGGTTTTAAGACTAAAAATTGCCAAAAATGTCTGATTTTGTTACTACAATTTGCCAAAAATGGTCTGATTTTATAAGTAAATTTTGCAAATATTACTTTTGATTTTAAGACTAACATTTGTCAAAGATGGTTTGATTTTATTACTAAAATCTGCCAAAAAAAGTTCTAAATTTAAGACAAGTTTGCCAGAAATGGTCTGATTTTAAGACTAAAATTTTTAAAAAGATATCCTGTTTTAAGTCTAAGTTTGCTTAAATTTGTTGCTAATTCACTCGACCCAATAGTTTGTTTCACTGATCAAAGATGTCATAGAAACTAAAATCTCCAACACTGTGCCAGCACCTGCTGATCTATTTCCTAGAGACAGCTCACGCTGCAAAATGTCGGAAACTGTACAACCGGCCACGTGATCTATTTAGCGGAATTAATGCATAAATTTTCCTTAAATGACTTAAAAATCAAAATTAGAAGAGTTAGATGACCGCTTCCCGCTTGCTTGACACAATCCTGCAATAAGCGAAAGGCATTTTCCGACTTTATGTAATTTAAATCGACTGTTTCTCTTTTTCTTTTTTAATTTTTAATTTTTCTTTCCGTTTCTTTCCTTTTTTGTTTCTTATGATTTCTTTAGTTCTTCATATCGCCTTTCATATTTTTTTCGTTTAATTTGTTATTACTCTTATATTTCTTTTAAATATGGCTTTATTTATTTCCTTAATTTCTTTTTCCTTTTTTATCTTATCCTCTTCTTTCTTTTACTCTTCCTTTCTATTTTTTCTTTTTCTATACATGTTCATTCTATTTTCATTCTTCATTTCGTTATATTTTTTTTTTCATTATTTCTTTCTTCACTCCCATTCTTTACTACTTTCTTTCCTTTTTCTTTCTTTCCTTTTTCTTTCTTTCCTTTTTCTTTCTTTCCTTTTTCTTTCTTTCCTTCTTTCTAGCTTCCGTTTTCTTTACATTTTCCCGTCATCTCCATTTTCTTTCGTTCCATTTTGTCATTCTTCCCATTTCAATACTCTTCTTTTTTTTTCTTTTTTTTTTTTTAAGCATTTCACCCCAAGCAAGGCGGGAAGCCACTACGACTCAAGGGGTTACAGAAAATTTAGAGCAAGATCAGATAGGAGTGGTAGAAGAAAGGATGAAGGTAGTGGATAGATCAAGGCAACTAGAGATGTCGATTGACATTACACTTGAATAGCTGGAGATTATAGCTCACAGGGACACAGGAATAGGGAAGGGAGTTCCGCAGGCGAGAGGTGCGAGACATGAAGCTATTGGAGTACAAGAGACGGCTACATTAAGGAGTTTCGACAGTGAAGGGGTGAGAGCGGGATGCCAGCCTCGTATGGCGCTGGAACTCATGACGCCTGGGAACCAGCGAATGCAGCTCCTCGGAGAAATTTCCATGAAAGTATTTGTAGAACAGACAGAGAGAGGCGACGGCGCGTCTGTGAGAAAGTGACTGTAGACGAGATGCCAGACCAGGGCCAACTACATTGCAAATCCGCCTCTGGAGCCTATCAAGAACCCCGAGGCAAACAGAAAGGGCACCAGACCATATATGGCAGCAATACTCCATGCAAGGGCGAATTGTTGATTTGTAGATCTGGAGGATCGACTCCGGGGGAAAAAACTTCCTGTCGCGACTCCTTGCGGTGGACGAAGCAATTGACTCAATGTATTTATTCCATCTCAGGTCAGCAGTCAACGTGAGACCGAGAAGCCGCAGAGAGTTGCTCTCGAAAAGTTGAGCGTCAGACATTCTAATGGAGGGAAGGGAAGGATCTCTGTGGTGATTAATAGAGAGCAGTTTTGTCTTAGAAGCGTTGAAGTTGACCAGCCAATTCTTGCCCCAGTTCACAATCGATTCTTTCTTCCTTCTTTGTTTCTTTCTATTTTAATTCCGTTCTTCACTTTTTCTTTCTTTCTTTCTTTCTTTCTTTCTTTCTTCAACCCTCTTATTCACTTTTCTTTCTATCTTTCTTTCTGTATCTGCCTATATTTCTGAGATGAAGTATTATGTACATTATTTACATTATTCGGACTATTGTCCTCATCTTTGTCGCCATATTTATTACAATGTTTCGGCCGTTGTACGTTCCGGCCTTCTTCAGGTGGTTGAAATGTCGAACTGAACCCTTTATTTATTTATATTTATATAGCTGCGGAAAGAAATATAAAGGGGAGACAGGCCGCCCCCTTAAGGTAAGGCTTCAAGAACACCAGAAAGCTGTAACACAAGGGGAAGTGGAAAAATCAGGCGTGGCTGACCACATATGGAGAGAGAAGGGAAATCACCGCCCTCTGTGGGATTAGGTTGAGATCATAGACAAGGAACACCATTAGAAAATCCGTAAACTTAAGGAATCAGCACATATGCTAGGCCACAAAAATCTGAACATAGAAATGAATACAATATGGGAACCAGTAATAAGGACTGCCAGATAAAAGCAATAACAACAACAAAAGTTGCAATATGAGCTCTGGTAAAAAATAGATGCAATGATAACAGAAAAAATTGCAATATGAGCACTGGTAAAAATGGTTGCTGAGACATTAGGTTTATAATACCCAGAAATTCATACACACATGGCACAGTGGATAAAGGCGTTGGTTAGATCCAGTGACAGGACCCAAAGAGTGTGTGTTCAATATCCGGTTATGGTCGTGGATAATTTTCAGAAGGAAATTAACAGGAGATAACTGACATCCATCAAACATGGCACGTTGAACTATAACAGTCTACCCCAGTGAGCGAAATAAAGGGTTCAGTTCGAAATTCCAACCACCTGAAGAAGGCCGGAGCGTACAACGGCCGAAACGTTGTAATAAATATGGCGACAAAGATGAGGACAATAGTCCGAATAATGTAAATAATGTATCTGTCTTTATTCAATCCTATTCTTTAGTTTTCTTTCTTTCTTTCTTTTTTCAGTCCTCTTCTTCACTTCTTTCTTTCTCTCTTTCTTCAGTCCCTTTCTTCACTTCTTTCTTTCTTTCTTTCTTCAGTCCCTTTCTTCACTTCTTTCTTTCTTTCTTTCTTTCTTTCTTCGGTCCCCTTCTTCAATTCTTTCTTTCTTTCTTCAGTCCCTTTCTTCACTTCTTTCTTTCTTTCTTTCTTTCTTCGGTCCCCTTCTTCAATTCTTTCTTTCTTTCTTCAGTCCCCTTCTTCACTTCTTTCTTTCTTTCTTTCTTTCTTCAGTCTTTACTTCTTTCTTTACTTTTTCTTTCTTTTGTTTTCTAACTTCCGTTTTCTTTATATTTTCACGTAATTTATATTCTCCATCTTCTTTCGTTTGATTTTGTCATTCTTTCTTTTTCAATGCCCTCCTTTCTTCTTTTTCTTTTCTTTCTTTCTTTCTTTCTTTTTAAATCCCCTTTTCATATCTTTATTTGTTTATTTCTTTATTTATTCCCTCCTCTTTACCTTTATTTCTTTCTTTCTTTAATCCTCGTTTTCACTTTTCTTTCTTTCTTTCTTTCTTTCTTTCTTTCTTTCTTTCTTTCTTTGTGCTTTTCCTCCTTTATTTGTTATTTGCCATGTATAATACAAGGCCAAATGAATGTGAGTAGGAAAATTGTGTCGAACAGATCTTCCATGTAGGAAGAGTCTGTTTGTTCTCAAAATCAGCGCTCATAATCTTATTTGTTTTTACCTGAACTCCAGCATAAATTATTGGCACAACTAGGATTGAATCAAAAGACTGAGCCAACACAACGTGTTCATAATGATTGAATTAGCGTCAAATTAAAATAGAAATACTCGCCGCAGAGCAATGGTTAGCAAGCTAGTCTCTGACTATTGTTACTGTCTTCAATTCGCTCCTCACTAGGTGTCATACCACCACTTGTGCCAAATTCCAGTATGCCCGCTAAATAGCAATGTTAATAAGGGGAAGACGCTATCATAGCAAGATGGTTAGACAGCTTGTATCTAGGAAACATTTGATTTGTCCAATAAACTCGTTGCTTCATTAATGTTGATTCGCGTTAGACTAAGACATGATTAAGAAACAGCTAATAACCACCACAGAGAACCTTTTCTGTCTGCTATCTGCATGGCAGACGCTGGTCTCCAGAAGAGCAACACACTACGCCTTCTTGGCGTCAGGTTTTCTACTGACATGAATCAATAGCTGCATCTACTGCAAGGAAAGCTGGGTCACTGTGTCGTGCCAGAAAATGTTTCTCGTCAGAATCCATCTTGCACATTTATAAATCTACCATTCGTCCGGACATTAAATACTGTTGCCATATCTTGTCTGGTGCATCTAGAAATTCTTGACAAAATCCCAAAGGAGGATTTGTAATGTAATCGATACTGACCAGGCATTTTGACTTCAGTGGCTTTCTCACCGACGTGACGTGGCTACCCTCTGTCTTTTCTGCAAATATTTTCATGGCAACTGCTCTGACGAGCTTTCTTACTTGGTGCCCCTAAAATATGAATTTAAGCGCGCTACTAGATTGGCATCTAGGTCACACTGTTGAAATAGCTAAACTGCCACTTCTACTTTAGCAGTTTCTTTTCTCGCACTTCCCACTTGTTGAACTCCATTCTCTTTCCTTGCTTCCCTAATAACTACAATCTTCAAAAATTTAAATGCAACATCAATCGCCATCTTCTGTATTTTTGAACCCTGTACATCTTTTATTCTTTCTTCAGTCCTCCCTATTAACGGGATTCTATTTCACTTTCGTTCCTTGTAATATCTAACATTACCGACTTGCTTGTAGTGAAACGATTAAAAAACACATTTCCAAAACTCTAGACTGGCAGCTTATCTCTCCACTGACAGAGTTTAACGTCTCAGCCGAGGAAAAATTGGCGAATTACATTCAAAGCCTTGGAAACCAAACAAGTTACATTTCATCATTGCCGATCGGGCCGAGAACTATCGCCAATCACGATGAATGGATGTTCTCTCAAAGAGACTTCGTGACTTGAGCGCCAATTGAGACTCAACCCAGATTTCAAGTAAAGCTCGTACATACGAGTCATCGCTAATGCTGGAAAAATTGTCAGTTCCCTGTAACGGTCTCGTAAATACCTGGCTCCTTCTGCTTTCGCTACCTTTACAAGAGCCAGGCCAGACCAAAATGGAGTAGTGTTGCTATATTTAGGCAGGATTTTCCAGTCTTGATAGAGCCCCAAAGCGTCTTCGCGTCTTTCTGGGTAACAAATTATTTCCACCCTACAATCCCTTTCTCACAGACAAAACTTCGCAGGCCTATCACTGCTCTATCGCTATTGCCCTGGAAAATGTTCAGATGAACAACATTTCTTAATTCCACCGGTTCTAATGTTGGCGACTAAGATCCGACATGCTATGCTCCTTATAGAAAATAAGCCTCATTTTCTTCCAGTGGTGAGTTGTAAGTTCCACTCGAGTACTTTCTTCCCACAAACCATTGCTTTGTGGAAACCACTCCCAAGAGGGTGCTTTCCCGATCCGTACAATTTTAACCTGTTCAAATCTATGGTTAACCGTTATCTTCGCCACATATCCACATAAACTGTGCCTTTTACTTTGTAACCCTCTAACTTGGGTGGCTCTTGGGCTTTGTACAGGTTGAACATCATTGTAAAAAAGAAAGCATAGTACCCAATAAAATGACTGGAATGTAACTTCTGCTTAGGATCAGTGTAATATCTCTGCGCTTCGCCTGGGATCAAAGCGTCGCTCCCTGGCACTTCTGCCGAGAATCAATGTAATATCTGTGGACACTGGGAAAAGAGTTACGTTCTTCCTACACGCGCACTACACACACTATAGACATGAAGTGCCTAGTTGTTCATTTCCATCCAACAGCAGAATTGGGAGATGCAAAGGGGAGCAAGGACGCAAAACAACAGTGGGTAGGAGGAAAGTCAGAGGGTAAGCAAGAAAGCTCGAGAAAAACAAAACGAAAAACAGCCGAAAGAAACAACGGCAAAAGAAGAGAGATGGAAACGATGGAAACTAAGGAAAGACACAGAGAGGCTTCGGTTTTGTTACTCCCTTAACCTTTTGATCTTTTAAATCATTTTAAAATATTTCCAGTTTGGGACATCACGCAAAAATAAGGAAGGGATTTAGTTAATGGAACCTTTTTTTCTAAATTATTCTCTCCTTCGCTTTTTTCTTTTCATCGTCTTTTCGCTTCATGAATTAAAATATTTTCTTTTATTTCATATTCCTTTTACTTAATTTCAATTGAACATTTTAATTTTATTCTCCCTTTTATTTCTTTGGTTCTCTAGCAAGAGAACACTTGAGAACACGGAGTACTATAAGCGATCTCCTATAACCCGAAATAATTTTCGGCTTTAAATAAGGGTTGATAAACCGTAAAATATATCAAATCAAACCAAGGTCCACATCCTGATTTTTCGTATTCTTTTAGTTTTATTCTGTGGTTTGCTGAAATATTGACATCCACGATGTGACAGTTTTCTTTGCTTTGCTTTTCTTTTCTTTTCTTTCTTTCTTTTTTTCTTTCTTTTCTTTCTTTCTTTCGATGCCGAAAAACCATTTACCGATAAAATAGACACCGAGGAAAAATTAATGGATTACAAAACTACAAAGATATTCGTTGCGGGATTCAGGACAGACTTTAGCCTATCTTTAATTCTGATTCGATTTCCAAGGAATTCTTTATGATTACTAATTTCTGAATTCACGTAGCAAATAGACGAAAGCATCCGCCCAAAAACTTTTCGGCAATTACTACGCACACATCGACTGTTGGTCTACATTTAATTGAACAGGAACAGGAAATATTAAGTATAGGGACCTCAAAAAAAAAAAAAAAAAAAAAAAAAAAACGATACTTACAGTTTAAAATGAATTTCTAAAAATGAAAATCTTTCTTTAAACTTTTATTTTAGTTTTAATTTCAAGCTAATAGATTAAATTTAATATTTCCAATAAGTAAAATACTTTGCTGTATTTCAAAAACTAATTTAAATTGACTGGAATTATTTTTATTTATTTTTTTTTTTTTTTTATTTGTTTTTTTTTTTTGGGGGGGGGGTTTGTTGGGGTTTTTTGCTAAAATAGCTAATTACCTCCCTTTTTAGTCCTCGTTCATCGGAATGTAACTCTCTTTATAAAACATCTAAAAATAAAATATACTTTTCTGAAACTTTATTTGAGGAAGATTAACTGATTTAAAGTTTAATTAATTTGATTTGAAACAAATATTATTTTCATAATAATTACAACCCATTCTTCTGTCCTAAATTAGGCGATCTGTTGTAATTTGAAAATCCAAGATAATTTTGATTTTGCATTCGCAACGACAGATTCAGATTTGTGCAGCTGAATTTAATTCATTTGCACAGTTCCCATTAGATAACTCCTCCCACCCAATCGTGCCTATTCCTTTCCTACATTTCTTATTTAGCTATTTCATTCGTTTTATTTATTTTTATTTTTTATTCGCTAAAATATTTTCAATTAATTTTATTGATTATTTCTTTCTTTTGTTTTATTGTTTTGGTTTTGTTTTAATTTTTTTTTTTTTTTTCTTACGCGGGAATGTTTTCAGCTTGCATAATGCCTCAAGGCGAATATTATTTTTCCTTCGTCTTCTTCTACCTTCCCGCTCTCTCCCCATGTTATCATTTCGTCCACCCTCTCTCTCTCGCCCTCTCTCCCCCTCTCTCTCCTCTCTCCCCCTCTCTCTCTCTCCCCTCTCCCCCTCTCTTTCTTCAGCCATTTTTTTTTTTTTTACTTTTTCTCTCGTTTTCCTTCATTTCACCGCATTCTGCTTAGCAATTGCTACCAACTAAATCGTAATCGCAATCTCATAAACAAATTTATTGGTGCGTGAATATAATTTGTTCTCACCGCTTTAACAACTTCGTAATTAATTATGCCAGGTTAGCGGTCGGCCAAGCGGGGAACATTTTTTTTTTTTCGAATGTGAGAAACTTGGTGCAGATGGGTGTGTTTCTGGAATGAAGAGGAACGTCAATTCGACGGTGCCCAATGCAAGTGTAACAAAAAAAAAAAAAACGATACTCAACACTAGCATAATTTTCGTTACCAACCTTCCATCTTTTTCGTTTTTGTTTTCGCTCTACATTTTACTTGTATTATACTCGATTTATTATTTATTAAAGCTGGCACAACCCACTTCCCACGGAAATCTGTATGGAGACATGGACAGTCTTATCTCCTTTGCACTGGAAACTCCTTCTTATTGACATTTTAGTTGTTTTTTGTCTGAGTGTTGGTCAAAAGAACAAGAATAAATATGTTAAAGTAACAGAAGAAACGATGAAATAAAAAAAAATGTTATTAGTTGTATTACGAAAATGCCAGTGAAATCTTTAAAGTGACGTTTCTACAGAGCCTTTATTGATTGTGGTGCTGTTCGACATTGTGGCAGTTACAAAATAAAGAAAGAATAAAATAAATGAAAATAAACCCTTTTCCAATCATTAAAACAAAACAGGAACCGAAAAGGCTGTACTTGATCCCAGAATTCCAAAACGTGGTCTTTTCCCTCTTTTGACCGCGTGCCTTTGCTGTGGTCGGATGTCGACGCATGGCTCCATAAACGTGCATATGAAGTCAAGACGGGAAAAGTAAATACGAACTCTTACCATAGATTCACGTAAAACACAACGCCCATCTTCTCTACTTGAATGCTACTAAAGTATGCTCAAAGTAGAAACACTGACTTAAAGTATTTTTGTAAATTCCTGCTGTAATAAAGAAGTAATTACAGATACTTATCATACCTACACATAAGTCACCAGATCTAAAAAGTGATCTACAAACTGTTTTTAACCGGTTCAACGAATGTCTTCTTAATTTTATTGCCTCCAAGACGAAACTGCACTTTTTAAGTGTCTGCAAAAACTCTTTTTTCCTTTCATTAGCATGGCTGTGGCTAACCTCCACGAGAATGACTTCTCAGATCAACCAGTGGAAAAAAACCTTAGTCCGAGAAAGTGCAACTTCACGGACTAACGTTTTCCACTGACATGTAAGGGAAAGATTATATTGAATCAATTGATAGGACCGCAGTTAAAAAATTTTGTTCCCTTTGTTGTGCTAGACAATGTTTCTCGCTAAGGCCTATCTTACATATTCATCCTTCCTCTGAATATTGCTGCCACATCTGGTCTGGTTCTCCGACTATATATTTAGAGATTCTTGATAAAATCCAAAGAAGAAGATGCAATGTTATTAGTTTTCCCATATCTTGGCTTCAGTCACTTTCCTACCGTCGTAACGTAGCTTTGCAGTAACTTTTCTATAAATACTTTCATGGTAATTGTTCTGAGGAACTTTCCTCTAGGGTACCTAGACATTACGAATTTAAGTGCAATACCAGATTGGCGGCAAGGTCTCATCATTTTAGACTTGAAATGGCGAGATATAACTTGTGGAAACTTACTTCCAGCTTCTTACTTCGCAGTTAATTTGGATTTTCAAAAATTTAAATGCAATGTCAATCGTTATATACTGTTTTCTTAATTCTTGTTCTTTTATTGTTCTCTCTCCTTTATAGTATTTTCTTATACTCTCTAACGGTTAATAAACCTTTGTGTCTTAGTGGTTTTATTGCCTTGCTTGGGGTTAAAGGATTTTAAAATACTTGTTCGCTCAAGATATAGGCAATGTTGACTCCCATAACCTCCTATCTCTTATAGTCCTTAGCAACGTTTGTCCTCTTGCCAAATCTCCCGACCCCTGTCCCGTGATCTATTTACACAAGCACTAGTAGGTGGCTCGCTGCATTCCACTGTTCCTCTTGCCGTCAATATGCCCTGTGATTGCCGAATTCTCCAAGCCCTTCTTCCTCGGCTTTGTCTTTCTGATTCTGGTAGTTTTCTCACCACATCTTACTTATATTGAATTTATTTTCCTCTATCAAATCCCCATACTTACATTTTTGGCATAATGAAAGCAATAGGGACAGAAGAAAACAATACATAACTTCCCTATCGAGCTTGTGTAAATGGATGGCAGAACAAGAATTAGGAGAGATAACAAAAGGACAAAATTCACTAATAGCTACGAAGGACAGGGGTATAAATCAGCGGTGCCTATTATACACAAGTGTGTATTATAGGCGAATAGTTGCGTCATATGTAGAGACAGATAGATGTGTGTGTGTGTGTGTAAGAATGTAACTATATCAGTCATGCAAACCGACTTGATTATTTAATAAGGATATATTCTATTGTTATGTTATAATGCAGCATTGCTCCACGCTACTCGACGCAAACATGCCTTGTGTAACCAGAACAAGAGGCTATATTTTTAAGAAAAGAACATGTTGTTGTGTATTGCTTTTTATTGCTTTTTGTTGTAACATAACTACAGACGATAATGGGTATATCCCCATTCACATAAATACAGTAGTAAATACTGTATGTTGGTCAGCAGTCGGAGATTCGTCTCCGGCTGTGCTGGTCAAACTTTCTGTCTTCGGGCAGAGAGGATCCGCAGACGAGGCTCTGTCGAAGGGCATTTATACGGGGTCTACGGAGAATTTTTGGCCGAGCTTACGGGCTCGGTTACCACACATTAAATTCGGCCTTGTGACACATCTGACCACGTGGGGCGGTTGGTAGATATCCTGCAGTTAGGGATTCGTTTCCATCTGTGCTGGTAAAGCTCTCTACCTCCGGGCAGAGAGGATCCTCAGCCGAGGCTATGGTCGAAGGGTAGATTCTCGTCTCAGGAAACTGCTACCTGACCCCGTTTTATACGGGGTCTACGAGTATTTTTTGGCCTAGCCTACGGGCTCGGATACCCCACATTAAATTCGGCCTCGTGCCACATCTGACCGCTTGGATGACCTGCAGTTGGAGATTCATTGTGGAATTCTCTTGACTCACTTCTAACAGTTAACTACTTCTACGCGCCACTGGCGAATCCTATATATGTTGTTCTTGTCCGAAGTATTATCGTCCATTACCAACCTCCGTTTGATTATTCAATTCAATAAACTTTCCTAGGTCTCAACACTTTTGTTTCGTATTCTCTGCTCACTCGATATTTTACTTTTATTGATATGAAAAACAGAATCGTTACTTTTCAACTGAAAATTATAGATAGGACAAGAGAAATTTGAATCGCTAATCGAATCCCGTAGCTTTAAAAGAAAGCTTCTCAAATGGCAGATCGTATATCAAAATGGCATACGAACTTAAATCGGTGTAAAGTATTAATCATATATAAAAAAAAAAGCAATATGCATACATATAAATATATTTTCTATGTGTAACACTTTCTACATTACAAGTTATGATTACTTGCACTCAGTACCCGTGAAAATTTCACGATCTTGCTATTTGAATTTTCTGATGAAATAAGTCTTAATTTAATGATTAAATAAGCTCCTTGCGATCTGCGTGACGATAAAATACCCGTGGAAATTCCCCTGTTGCCTCGTTAAATATTTGACTTAAACAACTTAAAGAAACTAGTTTTTAATCGTTTCACCCCAATCAAGGCAAATAAAAACCAAGGGGGTTACTGAAAATGAAAAAAAGAAAGAGGGCAATAAAAAAAAATAGGATTCAAAGAGACAAATGAGGACAACTGACATTGCATTTAAATACAATATCATTCATAAGTCTGAATGCAAGCTTTTATTTTTTTTAAAAAAGTAAGACAAGGTGAAATGTATGCGTTTATGGAAAGTAAGAGGTTACGAAAAGGAAGATAGCATGAAAAGTAAGAGTGTATGAAAAGTAAGAGGATATGAAAAGTAAGTGTGCGAAAAGTAAGAGGGTATGAAAAGTGAGAGGGAGTGAAAGGTAAGAGTGTATGTAAAATAAGAATGTGAAAACTAAGAGGGTGTGAATAGTAAGAGGTTATGAAAAATAAGGTGTGAAAAGTAAGAGGGTATGTAATATAAGAGGGTGTGAAAAGAAGGACCATGTGAAAAGTAAGAGGGTGTAAAATGTAAGAGAGTATGAAAAGTAAGAGCGTATAAAAAGTAAGAGTTGTGAAAGGTAAGAAGTTGTGATAGGTAAGAGGGTATGAATAGTAAGAGGGTATGAATAGTAAGAGGGTATGAATATTAAGAGGGTATGAATAGTAAGAGGGCGTGAAATGTAAAAGAGTATGAAAAATAAGAGGTGTGAAAGATATGAAGTTGTGAGAGGTAAGAGGGTATGAAAAGTAAGAGAGTGTGAAAGATATGAAATTGTGAGAGGTAAGAGGGTATGAAAAGTAAGAGAGTGTCAAAGGTATGAAGTTGTGATAGGTAAAAGGGTATGAAAAGTAAGAGAGTATGAAAAGGGAGAGGCTATGAAAAGGAAGAGGGTGTAAAAAGAGGATATGAAAAAACTCAAAATTAAAAAGTTTTCCATTTCACTCAAACAGACGTTAAACGCAGGAGAGCATTATCACCTCCTCTACCCTCCTTTTCTCTCCTTTTTTTTTCTTATTATATATGCTATTTTCCACAATAAAACCAAACAGCGTCTCTAATATATTTTTCTTCCATCGTTTCTCGCAATCAAAACCGAATGATCTGTTATTTATCTGAGATAAAGGCCGGACGTAACGCTCTTGCTAACTAAATAACTAATGGAGGTAAAAGCAGAATTATAATTCTCTATCATTATTCTTCTGTTGCCGTAGAAGTATTTAGTGTTGAATCGAATTTTCTTTTATATTTTAATATTCAGGTCGTATTGAACAGAAAATGCATGAAAAGTATTTGATGCATTCTAAGAATAATTGCAAATCTACCTTCATGGATATATAATATAGTTTTCTTTACTCCGAATACAAAACATGTTATGTCATCCTGCTTATAAAATTAAAAAACCTCTCCTACTTTCAACGTTGCCCACTGAACGTAACAAAAAGTACAATGTTTAATGGTATAGCACATAGAACCTAATAAATGTTCTAATTAGGGCGTCACTTGTTAATTAGTCATTTCTGCATTTACAGATTTATCAGTCATCCTTCACCCTCCCCCAGTTAATCTATTTTCATATGCGGTCTGAATTTCTGTGATTAATTGATTGATTTTTTTGACGGCTTATCAACCTTTTGTGCGTTATTCAAGGCCGAAACATATTTTTGATCATAATAATATATTTTTTGCAAGTCAATATTGACTTAACAATTTTTTTAATAACAATAATTTTTATAGATCCTACTATTTAACCCATAGGAGATGGATTCATGCATTTCCTAAGGGAATCTGTGCCTGAGTGTATGTAACGGACCCGACCGAAATTCGAACTCGGCTCTCAGATTTTTCATTCCGAGTCTCTATCTATTTATATTCGGACTATCCGCCATCTATATTGTTGTTATTAACGTTTCGATTATTCTGATTTCTTAATATGCCGGTCGATCCGGGTAACTTTCAGGGAATTTCAAGCTGATCCCTTTATTTAATCTATATTAGTAAATTGATCTCGTTCCGTTGTCCATGTCTAGGTATATTTCGATTAGTTCTTATTTAGTACTCTTCGGTTATTGTTTGACCTTTGACCAATGAGTCTATGTCGGCAGTAGCTACGTACCCTTATTTATTTGTTTGATGTTATGTGTCTTCATGACGACGTTGATTATGACTATCCATAAACGGTTCACACATCCCCATCGATCTTTTGAACAGGATTAGAATAATATGCGAACAAAATTGGAGATAATGAGACAAAATGAAAAGGCTATTCAGATAATGCGTTCGCCTTTCCAGTCGTCTTCAGGTCTGTGTAAGTAAATCTATCTATCTATCTATCTATCTATCTATCTATCTATCTATCGCTGTCTGTTCTTATCTATCTATCTATCTATCTATCTATCGCTGTCTGTTCTTATCTCTCTTCTTTTTCTTTTAAAGCAAATCGCTCCAAGCAAGGTGGGAGTGCTACTAGCACGCAAGGGGTTACAAAGAGTGAGAGTAAGAGTAAAAAGGAGTGTTAGGGGAAAAGGATAAAGAGAAGGAGAGGGGTCAAGGTCAAGACATCAGAAGATGTCGATTGACATTACATTTGTATATTTGAAGATTATAGCTAGCAGGGAGCAAGTGATAGGAAGGGAGTTCTACTGGCGAGAGGTGCGAGATAAGACGCTGTCGGATTAGAAGAGATGGCTACATTTAGTCGTTTCGGCAGTAAAAGGCTGGGACCGAGATGCCAACCTAGTAGCACGTTTAAATCCATGAAGTTTGGGAACCAGTGAAAGTAGCTCGTCGGAGCAGAGGGAAGCCACAGCACGTCTGTGAAGTGGCAACTGCAGACGAGATGCCAGATCAGGACCAACCACGTTGCATATCCGTCTCTCTATCTATTTGTCTGTCGAGTTATCTATCTCAATCTAATCTTATCTATCTATCTATCTATCTATCTATCTTCTTATCTATCTCTTGCTTTTTACATCTTTCTATCTCAACTTGGTCATTATCCTACTCTGTTTTCATCTCTAGCAATATCTTTTTTGTAACTCACTAAAATCGAAATCTGTTACTCTCTTTCTGTCGGTCTCTTTCTGTTTCTCCCTCCCCCCCCATTCTCACTCTCTCACTATCGATCTCTCGCTCTCTCTGGCTCGCTTTCTGCATACGTTGGGATATGGCGTTTAATAAGATGTAGATTAATATCCGAACAAAAGTGGTTATGATGAGACAAAGTGAAAAAGCTATTCAGACAACGCGTTTCACCTCTCTATGGCTGGCGTCTACAGGTCGGAATGAGAGATTAGCCTTCTGCGTAAGTGCGTTGAAATCTTGGAAAAAGAGAATACTAAATAGCATTAGCAGGTGCTACGGCCAGAAAGATGTTTTTTTTTTTTCGTGTTGAAGCCGTTAACATCTGCTGGATTTTAAATTATCCCACACCAAGTAGATCTCTAGTTTTTATTTTCGTTTTTGTATTTCTGTGGTAGCTTGTATACCGCATTGTGCTTTTATCGCTTATGATCGATGATATTGTGTATGAGCCCGGTCTGAGGTGGACCACGGAAAATTGTGAGATCAATGCAGTGAATTCTTTGGTCTTCTAATCAGACTGGAATTTACTACGTTGAAATTGTGGCCAGATGTATTACATCGAACTAACACTGCGTTTAAATTTTTACCACGCAATAGATCCATACAATGTTCATATATATATATATATATATATATATATATATATATATATATATATATATATATTATTTATATATTATATGCGAGTACTTATTAGAAAGCGCTCAATATCAGAGAAGGAGCTAACATATGAGCCCCGACGGACGAGCGACTGTGTATGTGTGTCTGCGTACCTCAATGGGTCTACGGAGATTCATCTATGTTTGCGTTAGCATGAGTGACATCACGACAACGATCCCTCCACTTCCATAATAACACCAATACACGCAATCTACATAAATCCAAAATTTATATATTCTGTTTATACGTTATTTGTATAGATACAAATATTTAAGTAAATGTTCTGTTTATAATAAGCAGTATTAACTACATTTACCAGCCTGATTATCCGAGAAATTTCATAGAAAATATGTGTCCTACGAAAGGAATCGAACCTTTATCCTACACGGAACCGTCATATAGCCTGACGTGCTATACCATTTAGCTACAGGGGAAGCGTCCTGTTAGTAAAATCAAATTACTGTTTTTAAACAACAAATTTTCTATGAGAATTCTCGAATGCTCATATCTGCTCGAAGCGTATCTAAACGTAACAAATGATATCATATATTATATACCGGACTCAATCTTGCAGGTTAGGCACACTTCAAAATATCTTCAGACAGGAAAACCTGGTCAGGCAACTGATAATCAAATCTGTGGTACAAATCAGAATAATTGCTGTAGCCCTTCTGAATTCGACAAAACAAGACATGAACATGCTAACGTGTCCAATCAATGAAAAAGATCAAAAGTCATGCAAACCATACATGGGGCAACATCAGGGAACTTACACACACACACACACACACACACACACACACACACACATATATATATATATATATATATATATATATGTAGGGGGATCTGAATTTATTAAGCAAATCATATAAGCTTCAATAATTCAAATTTAGTTTAAAAATATTATCAAATTTTAAACAATTAATTTAGATGTCAAAACAAAGCCTGAATTAACATTTTAGATAGTAAGTAACCTTTTTACTATGTTTTATTGAAGTTATTTGATGTATTCTAAAGACGGCTGACTGAAGTTATTAGGTAAAACCAAATAATAACATTTTACTTCAATAAAACGATAGTAAAAATCATCAAAAATTTATCAACACCTTTAATAGAACAAATAACAAACACATATGATAAGTCTTGGAATCCTATACATTTTTATATAGTGACTCTTCTTCTCAATAACAGCCAGTAATCCATTGATTTTCTTCATTTTTATATTTCAGCAGGTTCAGTTTCCGACATGGTAGTTTTAATTACTTACCATAGGTCTGCTTTGCTTTTATATTGTTAGCCACCTCCATATAATTTCATCTTCACAACTGACCATAGATTTTCGATCGGATTCAGATCAGAACTTGATGGTAGCCATTCCATTATCTTATCTCCTATAAATCTTTTATGTTTAAGAATTCATGGATAAATTTAAACACATGAAAAAGAGCATTGTCATGCATAAATACACTCTTTACTTTGGAACAGCGAGACTGGTTATTGTACCATGCAAAGAAAGTCTTGTTCATAGAATCGTAATAGTTAGCACTGTTAACTCCTTCATCGACTTTGAATGCTCCAATAATGGTTTGGTCGACAATTCCAGTCCATATCATAACACTACCGCTTCCTTGTTGCCTTCTTTTAGCCACGGGCACATCTGAATTGGATAAAATCCATCCTTTGGCCTATCTATCAGGTCCATCAAATATCACTCGAGATTCGTCCTTGAAAATTACCTCAGAAAAGTCAATGTTCATGCATTTCTTGACCCAATTTTGACGCTTTAAAATATTTGCTTTAGTGAGAGGAATTTACGTAGGAGATTTTTTACAAATGCCTATTCATAAAGTCTTCTACACCTTTTGCCCTTCTTGACTCCCTCAATTTCGGCCTTTTCAATGCTCTTAGTGATAGCCAAAAGTGGTTGTTTCGGTATAACTCGCTTTAGTTTATGTTCATCTCAAGGAAGCAAATTCCTAAAGCCTTTTCCTTTGCCTCGCGTTCTCAACTTATATTTTCAACAGCCTTCTTTATCGTTCGATGGTCGTTGCAAAGCTCCTTTGATATCTCCAATGTGGACATTCCCTCATTCAACAGCCTTGTTATTTTCTGTTTTTTCAGCAGTTGTTAGAGCCTTCCCTTTACCCATGTTTCAACATATATTATGAACAAAAAAAAAATTGTTTTTATTACATTTCAGAGGTTTTAAGATAATATTAGTTTAATCTGCATATTAACTTCAGACAGTCCAATATCTCAAAAACTAACCATTAAAAATGGCAGAAAATTTAAAATATTTTAATTGGATGGAATTTGCCAACTATTGTTTCAGAACCTTTTGCGTTATTGAGGTCTATTTGATTTGCATAATAACTTCAGACAGTCTGTATATGCAGGGATCTAACTAATTTATGAACGTTAAAGCTAAGGTTAATTATTATCCTTTCTTCAAAATTCTAACGCACTCTCCTTACATACGGGTTTATCTCTCATTCTGATTTGAAGACGCCTCTCCTAAAGAGACGAAACGCGCTGACAGAAAAGGCTTTCAGGCTATGGTTCTTTATCTCCACTTGGTAAACTAGAAGTAGCAAGTTTATACATTATTCGGACTATTGTCCTCATCTTTGTCGCCATATTTATCACAACGTTTCGGCCGTTGTACGCTCCGGCCTTCTTCAGGTGGTTGGAATGTCGAACTGACCCCTTTATTTCGCTCACTGGGGTAGACTGTTCTAGTTCCATGTGCCATGTTTGATGGATGTCAGTTATCAGTTATCTCCTGTTCATTTCCCTCTGAAAGTTCTCCACTGCCTTAACCGGGTATTGAACTCACACTCTTTGTGTTCTGTTACTGGACCTAACCAACGCCATTATCCACTGTGCCATGTGTCCTTGCAAGTTTATGCATAACAGGAAAAACCTGCACAAAGGAAAATTTAAATTGTAATAATTATGGCACTTGTTCTGGTATCGGAGTTATGTTATTTTATGGTACAATGAGTTGAGCTTCAAATTTAGTAATTACCAATGAATATTTTTAGGTTATTTTACAATGCATTATTAATTTTGGCTGTTACCACTGTAAACAAACGGCTGCGTCATAACTGGCACTTTTATTTTTATTTTCACCATATAAAACCTTGACGGCTGTTAGTTATGTCATAGACATGTATGATTTTTACAGGATGGACGTTTCTCGTGACTGAACTCGGAAAACGTCGGATACAGATGCGTTGAAAAAATTACTCCTGTTTTAATTTCTGAAACGAGATATCATCATCATCATTATTATTATTTCCTTTGATTTCTGTTGTATTTTTCTTCCGGGTTCCAACCGGAGACCTGAGGCCAGAAATAGCATCATGACATTTTCACTGAACATTTTTTTGTTAACTATATTCACCATAGTGACACTCAACTGAATCCGCCTATATCGCCAATACCACCAGCAGCTGTTCAGTAATTCTTCAGTCTTCGATATCAAAGGCTGGCTGTCAGTGAATATTCGGGAAAAAACATGGCCGCCTTTATACACGTCGCATTGAATATTTTGAGCCTTCTGATTGGTTAACCCTTCTATTGGTGAACTATAAAATGAGTCAGCTCATTTTGGCTGGCTCACTAGTAGTACGGGGTATCCAAAAATTCCAACATTTTTAACCTAAGAGCACACTCATTTTACATAGATAAAGCACTTCGTAAGGTGTGAGCTCTACTCGTGAGAATAATATTTAAATTTCATTAAGGTGTGGGCTATCAGGAATCCCTTTAATTATAATGCGAAAGAGCAACATGATACCAAAGTGACGTTAGCCTAATATTCCATTCATACGACCCAGTCAGATATGAGTATATCATGGAGGTGCATTACAAATTATTATTGTTATTATTATTATCATTATTGAGTCAGAGATCAGCATGAACACAAAGTAACTCTGGGGTACAAATATACGAAGCCCAATATATCCATTATGACACGCACTTTGATAAGGGTATACAAGGTACATGCATAACAGCCAAATGTGCGTAATATGATGAAGGGTTTTGATAAATGCAGCGAATATGTATGCAATATTTAACTGGACCAAACCTTGCAGAAAACCCGATCAGGCAACTGACAATCACTTCTGTGGTATAAATAAGAATATTTGCTGTAGCCATTCTGAATTCAACAAAAAAAAATCATGAACCTGCTAACGCGTCCAATCAATGAAAAAGAGGAGAAATCATGCGAACCATAC